ATATGTAAGATGCGGATACTTACCTTGAAAGAAGGTGATTCTAGAGCAGAGTCTGAAATTCAGGCCACACTTCCTGAAGGCTAGGGCTTGGTATTAGGTAAAAGCATTCAGTAACTGCTACTAATTTAAGTTGTTAATTACATGGAGTTTTCTAAATGGGGATTAGGCAAAGCAAGGTTGCTGGAGGATTATTACACTACTATACAAACAAACATTTCGTGTGCACTATCTGTGTGCTTTATCTACTTTACAGGCATTCTCTCAATTACCTCTCGTAATGAACCCAGAAAGCAGGAGTATTACCATCACCATTTTGATGGGGTGTTAAATGACTTGCTCAAGTGACAGGGCTAGCAAGAGACTCAGGAAGAGTCACACTCAGGGCTGGGATGGGAACCCACATTTTCACACTACTGGAATGCCTCCACATGGGTGACACATGGTGCTTCAGTGCCTGCCCCACAGCGGCCACGTACAGCTGGTCTCCATCTTATCACTGCTTTCCACCTCTCCTTCCATTCCTACTATGAAGCCCCTGCTCCCAGGGTCTCCCCTCTCTCTCCTGTTGGACCCAACTGTGCTCCGTCCTAAACACTGCTCAGCACAGCCCTGCATTCCCTCCCGTGGGGACCCAGCTTCTCATTAGCTCAGCCTTATATACCATGGAAGGAAGAGGGAGCAGGCACGAAGGCCACTTGTACCTCCTGCTGCATCTCCCCTTTTCCAGTCCTGAGACCCTTGTAGAGGTGATCTCTTTCACCTGGGGTACCCCTCTCCCCATGGTCAGGATCCTGTCCTCCCTTCAGAGGAGCCCTCCAATATCCCTGCACTCTGTGCCTACTTCTAAAGGATTCTGTCCGTACCTGTCCCTTGCTGCTCTCTTGGCTCACTACCTCGAGGCTCCTTGAGGCCAGGACCTGGCAGGATGGCCTCTGTGAGTGAGTGCTGGGAACACTGCATACTCAGTGCTAACTAAGTGCAGAGGCTCCATTGAATTGGACTGAATAGCAATGGAGCCCCAGCAGGGGCCTCCAAAGCAGCCCTTGAGAGGCACTGGCTCCCTGTCCTCATTGCAGCTTCTGGCCCCGTCTCTCCTCCGCCATGTCAGGAAACACTGCCAGGGCCTGGGCCAAGCGGGAGATGCCCCTGGGCTGCAGCACTGTTGCCTACAGGCTTGGACTCTGCATGGCCACTTCAGCTGGGGCAGAGATGGCTGGGGAGATCAAGGGCGACAGGCCCAAGGCTTCCAGCTCTGTAGAGGAGTCAGTGGCCAGGGTCCCATGGTGTCTAGCAGAGGGGACCTTCACAGGGTATGGCACTTTTGGAGCCAGTCCTGGAGAATCCTCTGTGAACTGGGCTGCTCGGTCTCCAGGCAGGGAATGAGTGAATGTTACCTCCATGCCTCTGGGACCAGGCTACTGTCACACAGGGGTCACAGCCACAGAACCTTGTCCTTTGCAGGCCAGGGTGACCCTGAGCTTAGGTCCTGAAACAATGTCTCAGACCAACACGGAACATTCTGAGCCCTGAGTCCCATTGGGTCCCCCAGAGTTCTCACTGCTCTTTTCTAACCGAGGGTCCCTCCCTTCTCCCAGGCTACCCCTGCCCAGGGCTGTGCTCCTGTGGGCACCCAGATCCCCCCACCACACCACCCTAGGTGCATTTCTATTGTTGCATACCACGTCTGTCTCCATCTCTGCAGCCCACAGGTGTGGGTCCCGTCTGTCCGTACCTGCTCCCCACTTCATTGCTTAATTCCGGCTGTCTCACCTCTGAGTTCCTTTCTCAGCAAAACTCACTTATGCAGTAAGAATAAATCTATCTGGTGTTGAGTTGATAACACCTGCCTAGAGTTTCACTGTGGCCAAGTCGACTCCAGGCTCCACCACTTCCTAACTGCTGAACAAACTATGTCATCTCTCTGCACCCCCATTTCTTAATGTAAAACATGGGTGTCATAGGACTAGTACCTGCTCCACAGTGTCAGTGTGACATGATTTAACACTGTACACACAATCATGCAGCTCTTGGACCAATGCCTGCCACAGAGTAAACATATATACTTTTGCCACGATGATGATGATGATTGGGAATTTACCGTGTAGTTGGCACGGTAGCACATACCTGTAATCCCTACACTCTGGAGGCTGAGGCAGGAGGATGGAGTTCAAGCCCAGGCTAGGTAACTTAATGACTTAGCAAGACTCTGTCTCAAAATTTAAAATTTAGAAAAGGGCTGAGGGTAGAGCTCAGTGCAAAGGCTCTCCATTCAATCACTAGTACCAGAAAAAACAAAACAAAAACAGAAAACCCTACCATGTGCCAGATCCTGGGGCCCCAGGAATACGCAAATGACAAGTCCAAGAAAGCAGCAATGGCAAGCCTGGGTGACTAATGGGGGAGGTATGGCCACACACACGGGAGAGCTCAGTGACTCAGACTCGCCTGCAGGCAGGGAGGCTGCTCAGAGGCTGGGACAACGTGAGAAAGCAGAGCCAGTGACGTAAAACTGTGCAGAAGTGGGGTACAAAGACCTTGTGGTGTGAGGCAGAGCCACCAAGGCCATCAGCACCACTAAGGGCAGCAGGGAAGCCACAGTGGTCTTGGAGCAGCGTGGGCTGTACTCTGCACAGATCCCTGAGATAGCTCACGACAGGCGGGCTCAGCAGGCTGAGGACCTAAGCCAGGCCTCTCTGCAGCCTGGGGCCACCCAGCACCCCGCCAGGCACAGTTTGCCAGCAGCAGTGTCCGTGGTTCCTGGTTCTGGTGGGCCAGCTGCCCATGGTGCCTAGAGTCCATCCTCACTCCCTGCCGCTGCACTTCCAGTCACAGACCAGTGAATGTCCGGCTCTGGGCGCTCATCTCCGTTCTCAGCCCAGCAACAGGCTCGCTCTTGCCACATGCTCAGCTCCCAGCCCCGGCTCACCCGTGGCCGGAGCCCATCCCCTCCCCCTTGGCCTCCACCCCACTTCGTCATCAGCCACCCAGTTGCTCCGCTGAGACTTGCCCAGCTCATCTTCCCATCAATGACTCATGAACCGGGCGGGGCTGAGGCCCGGGGTGCCAGGGCTGAGGGAGAGTTGGTGGCAACAGCCCTCCCCACCCCCCACCCCCGGCCTCTCCAAATGAGCAAAGTTTTCCCATCTCCTACATGTCTGCTGGCCCCGTCGGTGCCTGTTTGTGCCCTGGAAGGGGCCCTGACCCCACTCTGTGGTCCAGCCAAGCATTCTTAGGGTGAGGGCCTTTGTTCGCTCCTTCTTTGAAATTCAGAGCAGTGAGGACACCCCTGAACCCAGAAAGCAGGGTGCCCTCTTCCCCATCAGGGAGGCAAAGACTCTTCAAAGGGGTCACCACCTTTGGGGGAAAACCCCACGGTAGTAGCCCTAGACCTCTGTGCTGAGGGCTCTAGGAACCCTCAGGAAGCCGCTGGGCTCAGTGACCATCCCAAAGCCACAGCCACCACCTACGTGGTGTGCACCAGGAGCCTTCTGCGTCCCGGGGCCTGTGAGGGTCTCTGAAAGCAGTGACTTCAGAGCGCCTGTGACTGTCTTAGTGAGGGGAGAAATCGAAGCTGGCTTTGGCCAAGAACCAAAGCACACTTGGAAGGTACAGGGCTGCATGTTCCAAAAAAAATGAGGAGTGCCGGAAACCAGAGCCTGCCTCCCCTCCACAAGCACCTGCCCTCTGCCCTTGACATCCTGCTGCTCCTACCCCTCCCCCACGGACCGCCAAGCTCCAGGAATGACCCCTCCTAGTTCTGCCGAGGCCAGCACACGGCCCACATAGTCAGCTCTCTTAGCACGTTAGCAGTGCTCTATCTCTGTACTAGGCTCTGGGCTGCTCAGGGCAGGGACCAGATCATGCCTTTTCTGTCTCTGCATCTCTCCTTAACAGGCTGTTAGTTTGCTCAATGATTGTGCCTCACATCCCAAACCGTCTGCTCACACTCTCTTTCTGCCTGGGTACCTCTTTTCCTTATGCCCAAATCCTCATTGTCCATTCTCCATGGGTTTGATTCAAAGAGCAAGGATTTTAGAGACTGCTGTTTTATAGAAAGACGAAGTTAACCCTTTCCTATTAACATAGTTTGAAGCAAGGGAGGGGTGGCAACCATCGCACCCCCGCCCCAAGTAAGTGCTACTATTCTCCCATGTTGATCCTAAAACCCACAGCAAACATCACCAATCCATCACAGCACTCTGGTGAAACCCAGATTTTTCTCGGCACTGATCCAGGTTGACGTGTGAGGTGATGCTTATTTGCCATGATGGGGTTCAGCTATCCATGGGGTGGTGTTCAGCCTAATGAGATCATAAAGGGGATGTTGAAGTTCCTTCGTAATTTGTAAATTCGTATGCAGTCATGAAAAATGAGTTGCTTCTGAGGACCAAGGAACTGAGACATGGCACAGGGAAGTTTTGATTGGAAGGCAGGAGAAACGTGGAGAGGAACAGACCAGCTGGGTGCACAAAGAGGTTATGAAATAGATTTCAAGCTACTAGAGGGAAGCCAGTCAGCCTTGCTTCTTCCACAGATTGGAGGAGGCTACTGCTCTGAAACACGGAAGGTCAGTAAACAGGGTGAATGGCCAGCTTCTAGGCTTAACAGTTCTTGTATAGCTCAGGGCAGTGAGTTACCACCATTTCCCCCGAGTTGAAATTATTCCTTTTAAACCATCCAGTAAGGAAGAATTACTGTATAAATGGATAAGTCTAAACAATAGGGAGATAAGCATGGCCCAGAAATCTGAGCCACTTCCCAAGAGAGCAGGGACAAGGTCATCTACAGAAGAGGTGTCCACAGAGACTGCTTTGACCACTGTGGCATCCCAAGTCACACTGAAGCCCGCCCTTCCTAGGACCACTGAGACTAGGTCTACTGGGGTTCCAGTGTCTCCCCCTAGCCAGGCTAGCAGTTTCAGAATGAGCTGTGCAGGAGGGGGCAGGGAGACATGCCAAGCCCTGGTTCTTTGTGGGTAAAGAATTTCACGCAGCAGACAGTGTGGTTACTGCCCTTTGTAGGGCATCTTCATTCTGGAATAGGCATGAAATGGTAATGGCCAAACCTCACCTGAACCCCCTCCAGGCCCAGCACCACAGGGGGGAACATGGGTAGAGGCGGGGGAAGACATGTGCAAAGAGGGCCTGGATGGTGGGGGTCCCAAAAGGACCTAAGCAGCAGGAGACCCCCAGGTGTGGGCCTCAGGCCCAGCAGCTCCCTCTCCTCAAGGTGAGTCCGAAGCTGCTCCAGGATGGTGCCTTCTTCAGATACCAGGCTGGCCTCTTGAGTCCTGAGGTGTCGGCTTAGCACCCCATGGGGGACTGTCCTCCTCCAGGCCTGCAGCAAGGCCAGGCACTAACAGCAGTCCGCAGACCTGACGGAAGGGCCTCAGCAGGCAGAGGACTTGATGCCAGCTCCCATCGTGATGTGGGGGGCCAGGCCTGTGGCTAGAAGCTGAGCTGGGTATGTTGTGATGTCCTGACAGTCTGTCCAGGAGCTGAATCTTCATCCTCAGCTCCACACAGCCTTCTGGCCTCCTTCCCTGGCCCTCCACTCCTTCAGCTCTGACGCCTCCTCCACATGCCCATGGCTTCTGCTCACCTCATGGAGCACAGTCATGTCCCCTGTCGGTGAAGGGATGCAGGGCAGCTGGTGAGAAAGAACAGCAGTTAATACAGTGTCTCCTAGGTGTTGGGCACTTCACACCAGGCCTTCCCAGCCTTCCCACATCAGGACAAACAGAAAACAGTACAGCCGTTCCTCATTACCCACTGAGGACTGGGTCTGGGACAAAACCTGAATGTTCAAGTCTTTTGTATAAAAAGATGCAGTCTTTGCCTAACACCTAAGCACATCTCTAGTATATTTTAAATCATCTCTACATGTCTTGTTGTACTTGGTACAATGTAAACGTTATATAAATAGATGCTATGTCAATTAACAAATATCGACAAAGAAAGTCCACACATGTCCAGTAGAGCATAATTTGTTTTCCAACTATTTTCCAACAGAGGTTGGTTGAATCCACAGCCATGGAACCCATGGATACAGGGCTGACTGTGTTTATACAACACTTTGTGGCCACTGGCATCTGCTTCCTCCCAGGGCTCCCCCACCCCAGGCCTGAGGGACGCATGTGGATCCACTTAGCACAGCAGGGCTGCCCTGTACCAAGCCTCCCAGCCAACGCTCACTGCACCATGGGGGGAGTTGACAGAAGAATCAAAGGGTCTGTGGCACTGATGGCCCCAGGCTTACTGGGACTCTGTTGTTGAGGTAGTGTGTGAGGTGGAGCAGGGGGCCCAGCACACAGGTTTCCACCAGAGAAGTTAGTCCCAGTGTGGCATAAACCCTTCCGCAACCCTGCTCCCGGTTCCCTCAGGGAGGGAGTGGCATCTGAGGAAGAGGACACGGGGCTCCGTGCCAGGGCTTCTAGGTTCTATTCCTCTTCCCTCCCCTGCGCCTTCCTGACCACTGATGGGCCCTCCTCCCCTCACCCTCTGCCCCACTGCTCAGAGAACTCATGATCCTGCACCCACCACCAACCCTGCTCCAGGGCCCTATCCCCTTCCAGTGTCTCCTGCTCTAGCCCAGCTGGGCTTTGGCTGGCCCTCGGGGGTAGGCTGACAGACAGGCCCATCCCCCAGAATCAGTGGCCTGGCCTTGGCCTGTCTCACCCCTCCTTTAGCTCCGTTGTCCTCCCAAGAGCTCAGTCCTAGAGCCCCAAACCCACTGTCCAGAATGGGCATCGGGAGCCCTCAGACCAGACCAGCCAGCCCTCCACTGAGGCCCTACTCTGGGAGCTGGAGCTCCTCTGCTAACTGAAGGATCCTGCCTTTGTGCATCAATTCAATGCTCACACTCTGTGACACGGTGTTCCTCCTAGCAGGACTGTGGGTCTCTACCCTCTATACCCATCCGTTTCTCCTAGAAAGCCACAGTCCACGAGTCCTGCCCTGGGTGGGGGTGGAGGCCCAGCAGCCTGAGGCAAGGTCCGTCCATCTGATCAGGGTTCAACCAACTTCTGGGAAGGCTCATCCCATCCTGGTTCCCCCACCTAGAGCTCCCATCTTCGTTTCAGACACCTGGGTCAGATTTAGGATCCTTCTATTTGGAGCCCAGAGGGAAAGGCCACTCTGCTCATCTTGGCCACCACCCCAGGCCTCCCATACTCAGTCTTCTGAGCTCCTATTCTCTTTTGGCCCCAGGAACCCTCCCTAGGTCTGCCTGGCTTTGAAGCAGAGTGCTGGCCCCGGATTCTCTGCACAGGACAGAAGGAGGGGAGAGAAAGAGGGCGCAGTTCCGGTGGGGTCTCACCTGGCATGAACTCCGGGCACCACGGGGGCAGGGGGAATGACAGTAAGATGGGAGCCCGGTGGTTCAGGACACGAGGGTCCCGGCCCCGAGGCTCTGCCGAGCTCTCACTGTCTGAATGGCCTGTTGATTCTTGAACTTGACCAAGCCCAGGGTGATCTGGGCGTTCCAGCCGGGGTCTTCGAGGGGGCAGCGGAAGTCGATCTCACCACCGCCCTCGGTCACCAGCGTGAAGTAGATGTGGCGCCCCGTGCTCTCCACGCACTCCACCGCCTTGATGCGGGCAAAGCTGAGCTCCTTGGGCCGGCCGCCCGTGCCCTTGGCCTCGAAGAGCTGCAGCCCTCGCTCGGTAAGCACGCAGCGCTTGCGCTTCCACAGCTGCAGCAGTCCGCCGCTGCGCTTCTCCAGCACGCCCTCCTTGAGCACGGTCGCCGCCGCCGTCATGGGCGCCCCGAGGTCCCCAGCAAGCGACGAGGCTGCAGCGGATGCGGCGCCCCTTCAGGCTCTGGGGCGACCGGGGCCGGCTGGCAGCGCGCCCTGCCCACCTGCGCCCCGACTGCCCGGTACGCCCGCTCGCGCGGACACCGCCGCCTGGGCAGAGCGTGCCGGGGACCCTGCGCTCCCGCCGTCCGCTTCAGCCCGCCGTGCTCCTCTACCTCTGCCTCTGCCCCGCGCCCGCTGGCCCGCACGCAGCTTCCCCGAGCTCCGTCTGCGCGCTGGGCGGCAGCTAGCGGGATGTGCCCTTACATGTTCCGCCGCCTGCGCCGCCGCGCATTCCTGCCCCGCCAGCCCCTCCTCCCTCTGCTCCGCAACGCGCCCGCCCCTTGAGGGCTCCGGGGGCGGGGCGCTGCGGGGCTCCGCCACCCAGGGCGGGCGCAGGGTGCCGGCGCGAGGGCTGGGACCCAGCGGAGCTGGGGTGAGGTGGGGTGGGGGGCTTTTACCCAACAACCCGAGCCTCAGGCCTGCCGTCTCCGCTTCTGGGAACCAAAGCCCCCAACCCTACCCTCAGGCCTTGGAAGGAGCTGGAGACGGTGGAGGGAGAGCATCTCTGGATGGCAGATGAGGTGGGCAGTGCCACCGGTTGTGGTTGCATGGTGGGCATCAGCCAGCTACTGGCTTTTCCCAGGCCACAGGAGACCTGCTTCCCACCTCCGGCCTCTGCCTCACATCGGTGTTGGGTTCCTCCCTCGTTTATCTGTGCAGGCCCAGGGTGAGAGAGGCTGTCCCCAGCTATCCTCAGCTCAGACAACCCACCCCCTCTGACTTTTACCTCCACTTGCTGTCGGGGACTGGGACGCGACAGCAGTGGGAACTGGAGAGAGACGCGCTTTGTGGCCTCTTTGTAGTGGGAGGGTGACCCCGCTGTGACCTGGGGCTGTCACGTCTGCAGTCCCCTTGCTGGCACACACTTGAAGGTGGCTGTGTTCAGCCCCAGGCCCAGGGATGCCCTGTGCATGCAGCCCCGGGCCTGAGCACAGCTCCAGCTGTAGCTTTCTCTCCCGTCCCTCGCCCCAACAGAACAGGCTTCTCCCAGACAAGGAGCTGAAAGCGGGCCAGAGAAGGTTACTCTTCTTTTTCTGCCTGAAGAATGTTGCGTAAAGACCAGAGGAGTGTGGTTCCCCCTTGGTTGTATCCCCTGCCTGGGCTACCTCACCTTCCATTTCCACATCTGTCAAAGAGGATAGTTAATTTCCTCTCATCTCATGGGGTTGTTGCCATGGCTAAGTTAGGAACATCTGTGAAAGGAAGGCATACAGGAAAGGCCTGGCACTCGCAGAGACAACTCTCCCCTCTGGACGAGATGAGGTCAGGCACTGGACGATGGCTGTCCTCAGTTCTCATCCGTCCCATCTCAGTCACCTCCTCCGGGATAAGGTTTCTTAAAAGCCTATTCGTCAACAAGTTAATAATAGATTGTTCTGGGAATAATGATACTTGATAATGACAGTCAAAAGACCTCTTCATAGCACACCCTGTTTCTGCCCCTTGCCAATGAGGGGAAACTAATGGGCACAGGGAGGGTCCAATTGTGGGTGAGGGGATTCCTTCTCTGACCGCACAGCACCCAAGCCAAGCCAGGGGCAGGGGCGGAAGGCAGCCATCAGCTTCCGGTCCATAGCCAATGCCATGCGCATGCGCACGCGCACACGAACACCACAGCTAACTCCTGACTCCGTGGGCCCCCGGGAGAGGAGCAGACAGAGCTAGAAGAGAAGCAGCGAGATGGGTGTTTCCTGAGACCAGAAGACAGCACCCAAGCAGAGCCTGAATGGCCACGGCCCTGCCCTAGGGACCCCACTCTACCTTCTTGTGGTTCTTTCCTCCCTCACCCCTTAGTAGAGGCTTCTGAGTGCACAATCGAACATGACCCAGAAATCCCTCCTCAAGGAAATGGGCCATGGACCAGGCTGTGCCCCAACTCTGTCCCATCTCTCTTCCTGTCCCCAAACCAGGGCAGGACTCATTCCTGTTCCCTCCGGCTCCAAACTGATTCACAGTGTAGAGGCTTTCAAAGTTTACAGAGCCTTCAAACATTTTTAGACTCCTGTGACAGATAAGTATTACCATTATTATTATTATTATTCTCCTTTTTCTGAAGAAAAAAAAGATACAGAGAGGTCAAGCAACCTACTTGAGGTCACACAGCTTTGTAAAGAATAAACCCAGGGACCCAGAATCTTTTGATGATCCCAACTGCCTTTACATAACCATCTGAAAATCTTTGGGCATGACCCAGCTCCCCACGCCTCTCTCTTCAATTACTGGATGGAGGCTGTTGGGCTTTTGGACACAGGAGAAAGCAGAGGGGGCAAAAGGGTAGGGTACAGCTCAGTGGTGCAGTGCTTGCCTAGCATGTGCAAGGGCCTGGGTTCAGTTCCCGGCAGGGGAAGATGGAATGTGGCTAGCAGGAGTGAGTGGGAGAAGTGAGGAGGAAGTCAGTAGGGCACACTACTGCTGAAAAGGGCTTTGCCAAGGACTTATCCTGTTCCCCACACCCACCTCTCCCTGGTGGCCGAAGTGTGTCCTCGGAACCTGGGAGTCCCATCCTCCAGTTCTGTGGCCCCTTTGTCAGGAGGCGAGGATTCATTCTGCTAAGGTTGGCTTCTTGCCAGGAGCCCCACCTGGGAGCCACCTGGGCCCAGGTTGGACTGTTTGGGCTATCAGGATACCAGACAGCTTTCAAGGGTTGGGGGCGCTGGCAGGTGCCAGAGTATCCTGATCCTCCTCAGGGACAGGGCTCACACTCAGGGTTCTTGGGGCCATGCTGGGCACTGGAAAATCTTACTCAGTTCTTACTGACTCCACATCAAATAGATGGACAGAATGTTCCCGATCACAGCCCGAGCTGGCTCCTCCCTCTGCCCGGCCCAAGGGGAATGCTGATCTGCACTGTCCTCATCTACCCCAATCCAGCTGGATCCTGCTAGACTCTAAAATTGCCTCAGGGAAGAGTGGGCTGGTGGCTTTATCCAGGTCTCTGCCCTGTCCGGTGTGGAGGAGGGACCCGTGTGGAGGGCCGGGTCCCTTTCTGAACACTACCAAGGCCAAAGGAGAAAGAAAGATGGGGAAAAGTAGGATAGGAGAAGAATGGGCCCCAGAGAGGAGCAAAAGAGTAACAAAACTTCTGTTTTCTACATGCTCTTCTTAATATAAAATGTTTAGGGGTAATAAATGGTTACAAAAACTAAAGAAAACACATTGAAGATAATTTTACTAACAAAACAGGATGTCTCTTAACACTAAAATATTAAACTGAACTGGGCATGGTGGCACATGCCTGTGATCCCAGCACTCAGAGAGTCTGAGGCAGGAAGACTGAGTTCCAGCCGCGCCTGGGCAATTTAGGGACTTAGCCAGCCTGGAGTGACGGTGCACGCCTGTAATCCCAGCACTTGGGAGGATGAGGCAAGAGGGTCGTTGTGAGTTTGAAGCCAGCCTGGGCTACATACTGAGTTCAAGGCCAGCCCGTACTGCATCGTGAGACCCTGTCTCCCCGAAACCAGTGGGGCGGGGGCGGGGGGAGACTAACTTAGCAAGATCCTGTCTCAAAATAATAATTATAAATAAATAATAACTGGGGGCTGGGGTGTGGGTCGGTGCAAAGACCCTGGGTTCAGTCACCAGTATTGCCAAAAAACAAGCACGGAATCTGCCTGAATCTCAGCCCCCTCTAAGTGAACATCAGTGACGCCACCTGTGAGGCCCTGGGATATGGGCCCTCCGAGACCTACCCAGTACGCTCAGGCCCCACCTGCTCATCCAGGCTCCTGCACACCCCTCACCATCCCACAGCATGGCCAGCCTCCTAGTCAGGACCCTCACCTGTTCTTCCACATCACCAGCTGCTCTGTTTCTTTATCCCACCCAGCTCTGTCCAGACACTGTCTCCCCAAAGTCCCCCCACACCCTGCTTCAAACCTCAACTCCTCCCCGGCCATCGACATCTTCTCCATGGCATATGTTACCATCAACAAGATTTTCATATTTATCACCTATGTCCCACACTCTGCAGTAGGCTGCACGTCCTGGGGAGTTTCATCACTTTTCCTAAGCCATGTGGCTCCAGCACCTAGAGCGTTGCCAGACACTCAGCAGGACCTCCATCAGTAACTTCTGACTGGGTGAATTCAATGGCAAAGTACCTGACAAAATCAGGAGGTGGAAAAGGATGATGCAACTGTTTCCTCTTCGGTTATTATGGGGAGCCAATAAATGCTATCAAGAGCCAATGAACTAATACAGAGGCCTGAGTGTATTATTTAAAATGCTCATGGGAACCACAGGCAGTTACAGGAGATGTTTAGGGTGGTGAGACTGTCCCTTGTGACACTATAATGGCAGACGTGACTTTAGGCATTTGTCACAGCCCACAGAACTGGGCAACATCAAGAGGAAACAATGTAAACTGTGGACTTTAATTAATAATAAATGCATCAGTATTGGTTCATTAATTGTAGCAATGTATCCCACTAATATAAAATGTTAGTAATAGGGGAAACTATGGAAAAGGGGAGGAGAGAGGGTATGTGGAAATGCCGTACTATCTGCTCACCTTTTATACAAAGGTAAAACTGTTACAAAAATTAAGTACATTAATTAAAAAACAAAGAGTTAATAGATAACAGTACTCCTTCCAGGGAAGGGACGGGTGAGGAAAGAAGATACTTTTTTTTTTTTACTGTTCCTCATTCTGTACTACTAGACTTTTAAAAACTTATGCTTGCATTGCTTCTCTTAAAAATATATTTAAGGGCAGGGATGGTAGCACACACCTATAATCCTAACCATTGAGGAGGCTGAGACAGAAGGATCACATTCCAGGAAAGCCAGAGGCAACTTAGCAAGACACTGTGTCAAAATAAAAAAGGGTTGGGGATGTAGCTCAGTAGTGGAGTGTCCCTGGGTTCAATCCCAGTACCACAGACAGACAGAGAGACAGACAGACAGATAGATACACACACACACACACACAAACACATTAAGTCTTCAGGCATGTGGCATGCACCTATAGTCCCAGGACTCAGGAGGCTGCAGTAGGAAGATGACTTAAAGCCAGGAGTTGGAGGTTAGCCTGAGTAGCATACCAAGACAAAATCTAAAAAAAAAAATCTGGAAAACACACAATGCATCAACACTCATGCAGTGAAGCAATTAAAAATAATGAACCAGATCTGTGGGTCTTGCTAGGAAGAGCCGTCTGAAATACGTGGTCTTGCAGGAAACATTTCAGTACAGCAAGTGTAACGTGGGGTCTAACATGAACGCACACTAAGGGCA